TTCCACAAACACTGAAAACATGCATCTTTTGGTCTTTATTCTTCATACCTACCTTTCCTCAGTCTTCCTTCTTTCTACCCTTCCTTCCTTTTCTTTCCTTTTTGTCCCCAAGACCCTTGTTCTCAAAAACACTAGGAATATGGGAAGTAACTCGGGGAGTAAGGATTTTAATGTACATGAATCACAAACAACCTTCCTGGGAAAACCTCAACTTCTCATCTTTGAAGGCAATGGGAATTTTTGTTTTCCTTAAGTACCTAAGGCCTGAAAGAAAGTAAAAGTGTTACTTGCTCAGTCCTGTCCAACTCTTTGAGGACCCATGGACTGTAGCCCACCAGGTTCCTCTGTCCATGGAATTCTGCAGGCAAGAATTTGTAGTGGATAGCCATTCCCTTTTCCAGGGGACCTTCCCAGGCCAGGTATTGAACCTGGGTCTCTTGTACTGCAGGCAGATTCTTTACCATCTTAGCCACCAGGGAAGCCCAACTCTTAATGTCACTTTAGGACTGCCTCTTGGTGACATCTGTTCTCCACAAGGGCAGTGCTAGACAATAGACAGATATCCTGGTTTTCCTGCCAATGGCATTGTAGCAAATGATGCCCCCCTTCACGCCCCCAAATGAAGTATTTCATCAGAGGAATGTTATTTTTATGTTAAGACACCCATGCCATGATGCCTTACCACTGGTGATTTCCTTTTTTAATACTTAACACTGAGAAAATATAGCACAAATATGTGTGTATGTGTATGTGTGTGTGTGTGTGTGTGTGTTTGTATTTCTAAGTGGGCAGCTCAAACAGTACCATTTTAATCCAAATACACTAATAGAAAAACCAAGTTAAATGTTTCTTAAACATAAGTTAAAATGATTACGTGCAGCAATACCGCATTGCTAGAATAGATCAAATGACCTCATCGAAAATGTTTGAGAAGGTGTCAAACTTATCCATGTTAAGTTTAAAAATTTCAACTGTGAAAAGCTCTCTAGCTAACCATCTGTTTATCTTGTTCCTCCTATATATAATCAAATTTCTTTCAAACAGGAAGGCTTACATTGACAGAGTAAATGAGTCCAAATATTTGGCTTAATAGAGCTTCACTTTAATTAATCAAATAAAATTAATCTTTCAACTGAAGTGAAGTTTACATTTGTCTGTTTGATCTACAATATTTTTGAAGGATACTCATAATATTTTGTACACTACAAAAAGCATATCTACTTTCATTTGTATTTCAAGCAGCTGGCCTGGGCATATTATCATAGATGAGAAATGTTCTTAATTGGGATATCATCTCTTTACTGGATTTTGATCTTACTTACAAAAAGGAGCAGGGCTTGCAAAAATACACTTTAGAAATATTTTAATTCACAAAAGTGTTAGGTATCCATGGTTCTATTATGTGCATTAAATTTTTGGAAAACAATTTAGCTTCAGATGACATTTCAGGCTCAGAAAGCCTAAATTAGACATTCTGAAAGATTGTGAGTTGAGAAGACTGTTCAAGAAAGTGAAGGGCTATTAAGCAAAATGGGGCACATTCTTTACTAATGTTGATTAGTAAAATTCAATGAGGCACTAGGAGGAGAACTTGTTTCAACATAGCCTCATCTCACAGTGGTCTCCTTTCTATCATATTACATGGTAAGCATAACCCAGAAAAAGTAAAAAAAGACAACTGCTTTTAATAAATAAACCCATACTTAACAAGAAATGCTTTGGTGATTAAAATATCCCAATAGTAATTCAGCAATTGCTTTTCACTAGTCAATTAACGCCTGAGAACACTGAGATATTTATGAAGTTACAGTATCTTTTGCATAAAATAACTGGTTCAAATCCTGATTTAGAAATTAATCTGGGATTTAATTTCTTCCATCAAATTATGTATTGATGATAAATTAAAGAATCATATTTTATCACAAGTCCCTAGAATAATAACTATATCCGAATCTATAAAAACAATGTGTGTAAAAACAGCATACAAACTTCTATTCACAAATAATTAGCTTCTGGGATTGTGTCTGACAGCCTTTAATGATCATAAATTTCCAGCTCATCTTTTATCATCGCAATCAATTTATCACTGAAATAATTTTTGAGGCGTAAAATAAAGTGTCTCTCATATTTGAATACTTCATTCTCAGTATTTAAGTATGTTGTTGTCATCCATCGTTACGTTCTCCTCACTTCCAGGAGATGGCGCTGTGGGTTTTAAATCTCAAAGCTAAAACCCCAAAGCAGAATTGAGCCCTCTTCAGTTTATTTCTTCTTAATTCGCGGACATCAAGACAAGCCCTAAAAGTGTTCACTTATTTTAGGCCAACAATTTTTCTCCCACACCCCCCCCAAAAATCGAACGTTTTCCAAGGTTCCAAAAGATAAACGCATGTAACAAAAATAAGTATTATCAACCTCTAAGGAATATGTCCAGGTAACCAAGAAGGCAGTGAATTCTTCGGAAGCTCTTTTCACTGTTTCCCTTTATCTGAGTATCCTGCCCTACGGCTGGAGTCCCAGCAGGGCTATATCACGCCCCTCCCCTTAAAAGTCACCTGGAAGCCAGGTGAGCCCTTCGCTGCGAGCCTGGGGACCTGCCTGAGCGTCCGCTGGGGCGCATCCTCGCTCCGAAAAAGCTGCTTGTCTTGGGGGTGGGATGGGGGGTCAGTTTGAGCCTTTCCCTTCAATGTTTGTTCACACTTAAGTCAGCTAGTCGCCAAAGAGTCGTGAGGATCAACCTCTTTTCCTTAAAATAGATAAAGAAAAGGGGAAGAAAATCTTCACGAAAGAACTTTATATCAACAGGTTTCTGCTTTTCCAAGGTCGAAGTCCTCGGAATTGCCAAGCACTTCAGCCCTAAGGCTGGGGACCTTGGCGCGCTGCCAGGGCTGGTCCACCTCCCGCGGCCCCTGCTCCTTCGCGGCCCTCCTCCCCGTCAGCCCCGCCAACCCCCAACGCACACGCGGACACACAGCATCTCTTCGCACTGAGGTGTGGGGGACCCAGCCAAGAGGGTAAGACAAGACTGATGAATAAACAAACGGGGGCCGGAAGGCTTGACTTCAGGAGCTCGATGGGCTTGAAGCTCTCCGCCACCAAATCGATCCTGCGTTCCCGAAGCTGGCGGGGGGGCAGGATGACTAACCTCTGCTGTACCGGCTTCGAACCGATCTAAGAGTCACCAAATAGCGCCGAGCAGGCGAGGGGAGCCTGTAGGCACATGCAAGTTCAAGGTCAGCGTGCCTCTGATTGGGGCTGGAGAGCGGCCAAGAATGCGAGGGCCTGAAGCGCTTGGGATGCGCCCTGCCTGTGTGCGCTTTGGACGAGGCGGAGGGGGGCTCGGAGCCCCAACTCCCTGGCGGTTTCCCAAGAGGACGTTCCGCCGGGGTCACCGTGGTCCCGGCCTGATGCAGTCCCCAAGGCTGGGCTCCTCCGCCTCGAGGGCAGCGGTTTCCATGGCTCTCAGGGAATTTGCTTTTCCAAGCAGCTCCCAAGCAAAAGTTCGTGACATTTTGGCCAAACTTTGCTTTTCACCTTCTAGAATGTCCTCGAATAGATAAAGGAAAACACATTCACACAAGTCCAATTCTCCCTTTCAGAAAACACAGATACTCAAATCCCAGTATTCTAGGATTCTCCTAACTTTTAAATCTTGATAAATAATCTGTTTATCAGGGCTATAGAAATAACAAAGAGCAACTCCAGGCTTTGCTCTTAAATGATGGATTCGATTGTGTACCGTTCTGATTTTATTCAGGTTCCTATTTCAAATTGGAAGCAAATATTAATGAAGATGGTCACCAAGAAATGTAAGTACGACCTAAAAAAATCAGTTTGGTCTGAAATTCAATAGCCCTGTCATTTCAATGCGGGGTGGCTTGTTAAGTGTTTAAGCGTCCTTTCAAAGCCGTAGGTGTGTTCCTTCCTGCTGAAACAAAACTGTATTCATCTTTGCACAACATGCGCTGGCGTCTGTAAATTTGGTATGCAACACTCGGCCAAGAATGCTCCCTGTCCGGATGTGTGTCTGCCAAACCGCACCGCTGCGCCCACCAGCCCAGCACCAAGGGTACCCTCTGGGGTTCCCTGGACGGCGCCCATCCCGCCGTCTGGACCGCGGGGTGGCCTGCGCTGCCACCACCTCGACTGGGCAGAGGGAACAGTTCCCTGCGTTTCCTGTCCCCCCATTGCTTCAGTAACTCACACTGATCTCTGAAACTGCAGAGTCAGAGGATTTCGCTTCCACCGTTTCATTCCCAGGGGTCATCTGTGGGTCAGGAGTTTCCCTCGAGGGCTGATTCCACACCCCACCCCACTCCACCCTCTCACCCTTCCCAGACCACCAGAAAGTGTTTGCTTTGTTTTTTCCTCTCTTCTTTTTCCAACTTGCTAGTTGGATGAGGAACCCAGGCCCTTTCCCCTCTTGGTGGCAGAATAAAGTTCAAGCGCAGACATTTCTGGAGTTCCTGCGGCCAGAGAGGGGTACTAAGTGAGCAGCTGACGTCAGCACTTTGCTGGCCCGAAATCAGGCGGCGGGATTTCTACTCAAGTGGTGAGAAAGAACCTAGGCCGTGACTCAAGGCTGGCGACGATTAAACCAGGTAACGAGACACCGGGCAGATGTGTTTTCATTGCCCTGTAAGATAAATGCAGCGTTAAGTGCCTGACAACTTCCCAGAAGCAATCAGCAAAAGTTTACGAGTGCATAAACCTCAAAGACCATTCCCCGACGGTTGTTATAAGGCCCACATTTAGAGCTTCTATAAATTCTTCAGCAGTTTCCCCAAGCTAAATTTCCAGGGACTATTAAGCAGCCACCTCCTCCGGGGAGACCTGGGGGATTTTCTTGAACCTTCAAAGAAAGAGGTTTGGGGCTCCTAGTGAGTGAAATGAAGTTTCGCCAAAGTTTGTTTCAGAAGTTCGGGTGGCCAGAGAGGGAGGAGGGAGGAAGGTGGACCGGAAGTGGGGTCCAGGGAAAAGTTCATGATATACCGAGTTAGCTGACAGCAGCGGAGGGCCGGGGTCTGTCGAGGGTCGGGGATCTAGCGGAGCCTTGACCGCTTTGGGTGGTGGCCCCAGTTTGGCCAGTCCGGTTCTGCAGGGCACAGCTCCGCGTGGCGCTCCTAGCTGTGCCCGGGCTCCCCCAACTCGGCCCGGACACGGTAGCTCCTTCGTCTGTCTAGTGCCCACTGAGTGTCCTGCAGGAATCCAGCCGGCCAGCGCACCAGAAAGGCGGCCTGGACGGAGAACCGAATCCGACACCGGAAACGTGTCTCCACTCCGCCCAGAGCCAAGACGGTGCCAGCCTCGGTCCTCCCCCAAGTGGCCAGAGTTCTTGGGTCATTTAGTATCAGACACACACGACTCACCTACGTTTATAGAGAACCTTTGTTTACGATCCCGGTGAAAACAAAGCTGCTAATTGAAAAACAGTTACAGGAGCGTGTCTTTCAGCATCTTAAAGCCCGAGGTTAACAGCTGCGCGCGCCGGGGGAGGGAGAGGCGAGGGAAGCGGTGAGCCAGGGGCCGCCCCGCACGTCTACGTGCCTTGGGGGACCCGGGTGAGACACGTGGGCCGGATCGAGCCTTCAAGAGCCTAGGGCCGGGGTCCCAGGCTGGAAAGCCTCCCGCAGCCCGCCAGCTCTTTCTCCACCTTTGGGTTCCAGTCAACCCCAAGGGGCGAAGGTAACCGACGACTGCGTAGCATTTCTGATCCCGTGAGATTCAATCTCGGGCAGTTATTTTGGAAAGATAGAGCTGGGCCCTTTCCCCTGCTTTCCAGGTGAAAACGCAGGCGTTTCTGTGCCGTCCTCATCCCTCCTTTCTGAAATAAGGCGTCCAACTGTTCCGATATTACCATTCAAAAACAGGTTCTGTGGCGAACCTCATTTGTGAATCTATTACAGAGATTAATAGATTATTTCTCCTTTTTCAACTAATTCTCAGTGGGGAAATTTAACCATATGGTAAGGAGAGAATTAGAATTTCATCACATTAGAGCAAAATGTAATGAAAAGAGTCCAACACCTGGGGCCAACTCTGAAAGCCACAATTAAAAGGTTTTTAATGAAACCAGAGAAACCAAAAATTTCATAGGCTTCAGTAATTCTGCCACATAAGGAAGATTTATTGGAGATGTTGGGAAATATTGTTTTTACTTATGTTGTAAGAATGGAAAACCAGCCGCTAGATACCATGTGCACCCGGACACGGGACCCAGGAGCTGGAGGACCGAGAGTCCCGTTTCTCATCCGGGGAGCAGCACTAGTGTCCACACTTCGGCTTCCTCTCTCTCCAAGAACAATCGAGGCAGACCCAGTTGTCCCAGAATGGCTTCCTAGCCTTGGAGGCGACGTTTCCGGGTAAATAAATATGCACTGATTCCCCGCTTAGTCTGTGAGAGGGTTTGACTCCCGTTGAAGTTGACTATTCTGAAACCACTGGATTTTAATCTGGAGGGAAGTTTGAGCAATCAGTTTCTTCCTGGTTAGGAAATCGTGTGCTTCATCATCACCATCACTGTAGCCGTGGTTTGGAGGCGGCTGCGAAAGTAACCCCCCCCCACCACCACCTTTACAAAAAATCTAATGGGCTGCACTCCACCCCCCTTCCCCCGGCCCAATCCGGGTAGGAAATGGGCAGGGAGCATAGTGGCGGGGGCGGAATAAGGCGGTGTGTTGGGGGGGGGGGGGGATTGCTTTGCTCTTTTACTAGCTAAGAATCTTGGGTGAATTTAGGGCAAGCCAGCGGAGACACCGTGTGTCCCCCACCCCCCCAAAGTCCCATATCCAAATCCAGATCAGAGTCATCCTATGAACAGGAGTGGAGTATCAGTCTCCCCCGGAAGGGTCATGTAGCAGTGAGACAGAGTGGCAAGAGAAGGGGGAGGGGGGAACGGGGTGCGGTTGTGGGGGGGGGGGGGGGTGCGTCTGCTTTCCCCTGGACTCCCAGGCTTCGCCGCCGATCTACAATTTGCTGAAGGAGCAAAGAACATCGTCGACTCTAAGTAGGGCTTTTAGTGTGCTCATTGATGAGTGAAAGTCGCCACACATGTCAAGCTAAAGGCAGTTGTTGGGTTACTAACAGGACCCAGCGCCTTGCAAACATATGCGCTAAGCTGTGTATACAGATGGCAGGCAGAATAATGGAGCAGGCGCCTTTTATAAAGCTCTAGCTGCTGCCTGTCTTCAGACCTGGGAAATGAAACTATTCAGACTCGCGGCCAGATAGCGCCTGCGATTGTTTGTTACCGTTTTAATCCTATTAATTAAAACGTTAACCTGATTGGGTAGAAAGCGCTGTCCCAACAGGCGACTCTTCTTCATAATAACCTACTCAGAGATAATGATGTAAAAGACTCCCCCGTCTGTGGCGGCGGCTGGTTGATGGGTCCGGAAATCTCTTGAAGGTGAATCCAAGCAAGATAAACGGTGCGGAGAGGAGGCGCGGGGCTGGGCTCAGAGCGGCGGCGGCGGCGGCGGCTCCACACCCTGCGCGCCCACCCTCCCACCATGCGGGGCCGCGGCCCATGGTGAGCCCCAGCAGCCAGCACCATCGGCTGGAGACGAAGAAGAAGAAGAAGAGGAGGCGGCGAGCGCGGGGGAAGGCGAAAAAGAAAAAGAAGGGGAGAGGGCTGCCAGCAGCTCCGGGACCGACGCGCGCACCAGCCCCGGAGACCGGCTCGGGCGCGTCTGAGGCGCCGCCCGACTCCCGAGCCCAGGAGGCGGCGGCGGGCCCGGGCTGCGCGCCGGGGCCGGACCATGGAGCGCGGGCTGCACCTCGGCGCGGCCGCCGCGGGCGAAGACGACCTCTACCTGCACAAGAGCCTGAGCGCCTCCGCCGCCAAGCGCTTGGAGGCGGCTTTCCGCTCCACGCCCCCGGGCATGGACCTGTCCCTGGCACCGCCGCCCCGGGAGCGCCCGGCGTCCTCGTCGTCGCCCCTCGGCTGCTTCGAGCCGGCTGACCCCGAGGGGTCAGGGCTGCTGCTGCCGCCGCCCGGGGGAGGCGGCGGCGCGGGAGGCGGCGGCGGCGGCGGGGTGGGCGTCCCCGGGCTGCTCGTGGGCTCCGCCGGCGTGGGGGGCGACCCCAGCCTGAGCAGCCTGCCAGCCGGGGCGGCCCTCTGTCTCAAATACGGCGAGAGCGCCGGCCGGGGCTCGGTGGCCGAGAGCAGCGGCGGCGAGCAGAGCCCCGACGACGACAGCGACGGCCGCTGCGAGCTGGTGCTGCGGCCCGGAGGCAGCGACCCGCGGGCCTCCCCGGGCGCGGGAGGCGGCGGCACCAAGGCGGCTGAGGGCTGCTCCAACGCCCTCCTCCACGGCGGCGCCGGCGCCCCCCCGGGGGCCCCGAGCAGCGGCGGCGGCGGCGGGGGTAGCGGCGGCGGCGGCGGCGGTGGGGGCAGCGGCGGCAGCAAGAAATCCAAAGAGCAGAAAGCGCTGCGGCTCAACATCAACGCCCGCGAGCGCCGGCGGATGCACGACCTGAACGACGCGCTGGACGAGCTGCGCGCGGTGATCCCCTACGCGCACAGCCCCTCGGTGCGGAAGCTCTCCAAGATCGCCACGCTGCTGCTCGCGAAGAACTACATCCTCATGCAGGCGCAGGCCCTGGAGGAGATGCGGCGCCTCGTCGCCTACCTCAACCAGGGCCAGGCCATCTCCGCCGCCTCCCTGCCCAGCTCCGCGGCGGCCGCAGCCGCGGCCGCTGCCCTGCACCCGGCGCTTGGCGCCTACGAGCAGGCGGCCGGATACCCGTTCAGCGCCGGGCTGCCCCCGGCCGCCTCCTGCCCGGAGAAGTGCGCCCTGTTCAATAGCGTCTCCTCCAGCCTCTGCAAACAGTGCACGGAGAAGCCTTAAACATCCCCCCCCCCCACCCCGCCCCGAAAAACACCAGACCGACCCCAAAGCTAGAGGACAGTGCACAGCTGCTCACCACCCCTTTTATTTGGTCCTCTCGTAGTTGTGAAGCACTTGCAGAACAGACAAAGCGGAGGCGAGAACTGAGAAGTATCAGAGACACTCGGGACTTCTGGCCTCGACAACCCCAGAATCTTGGTCTTTGGGGTGGGGAGTGAGGTGAAGTTGGTATGGAGGATAGATGTCTTTATTTTTTCCTCGGAAAAGTGGCAACTTTGGTGGCAGCCTAGACCGCGAGGAAGCAGTTTGCCTTTAAGGTTAAAAAACAAGTTGAGAAGTAGTCGTTATTAAGCGTGAAGGGTATTCCAGGGCAAAATAGTAATCCTACTGATAATTGTGAATTTGGCTAGTGCTGAGGGGGAAAGGAGGAGTCCGGGGTTGGGTGGCTTGTGGGACGGAATATTCATTCAGACAAATCAGAAAGGGCACTTGAAAATAAATTTTGATTCTGAGCCAGGAGAAAAACTTGAAATGTAGATTTATTTAAGTGAAAAAACAAAACAAAACAAAAACAACAGAAAGAGACACGTTGCTATGAAAGACTTGTATTTTTTATTGTCTCTGAACTTTAATCCTGTGAAAATGCTCAAAAGTTTTGGCAAGAGTGATATAAAAAAACTGACTGTGGCTGAAAGAAATTGCATTTAAAAATATTTATGTGCACCTTGTTACTTTCCACTTTCCAATGATGTATTAACGATTCATGGTATTTATTTGTTATTCATCAATGACCTTTCCACATCAACAGTATTTATCATATGTTAAGGTCATGGGGTCTTATGTGCAGATTTTTTTTAATGCCTCTAAAATTCTGTTTTATAGATTAACCTATATCGTGTGCCAAGTGTTTAAAAGGGTTTATTTGCCAACAAGTATGAAGAGACATATTGATGTATCTGAGCTGCTTAGGTTTATCAAAGGTCACCTGGATATCTTCAGTTGCATCATCCCTGTATTTAAATTGAGCTTTAATAAATTGCTTCAGTCCAAAAATTACAGGAAAGGTGTATTCTTAATTGATGAATGAATTGATCTCTTTTTTTTTTTTTTCCAAAAGGGGACTCTTTTACATTCTAAAAAGGAAAGACATCACAGCAATAGATCCTATAAGTAAGAACATGCTAAACAAATACTTTTTCCAGGCTGTGCTGTGCATTTTTAAAAGGTCTAATTTAATTGCTTTTAATATATGTGTACATATATAAGTTATTTTAACTGTGGAGAATTATTTAAGTTGAAAGACTGGTTTGATTTGCCTATGGTGTGATATTCTTTGTTATTTTTCTAAAAAACAATTAAAAAGAAATAAAATAAAACTAAGGAAGAGCAAGAAGCTATTTACCCAAAGCGAGCTTTCAGTTTTAGTTTGCATGGCTGTTTGCCTGCCTTTCTAGCCTATGAAAATCCAGAAAACCTTTTTTAAAAAATGGAGTCCTGCTATTTTCCACTCCTTGCAGATAATACAAATCCAGTTTGTCAGGTTGGATGGTGAGTGGGGAGTTGTGATGGATCTCTTGGCGGGTTTTGGATGTGTAAAAAATGATATATATATTAAATAGGTCAATCAGACTATGACAGCTATGTACGACCATTTGTATGTGTATCTATGTCAGAAAGAATCTTTATTAAAATATTTTGATCAAACATTTTATTATGCTGTGCTTTGTGGAAGGAGCCATCACCTCTTTTCTGTGTAACTCTTTGCTTGAAAGGTAACTAGAAAGAAAGGAGTTTTAGAGAAGGTGAAACTAAAGTTCTGTCAGGGATAGGCAATTAGGAGCAGCCCTAGTTCACTTGTTTACTGTTAAAAGAGGATGGCTGGGCCTGGTCATTGGAGGAGAGAGAAATGGGGTCAGTGATGAGACACAGAGGAGGTCTAGAGCTCCTGTCTGCTGGCATGAACTTTGAAGGCCCTTCTCTCCCTGGAAATCTTTTCCCACTTTGTATGGCATTGTTAACTAACGGCACCAAGGCCCATCAGAGAGAGTAAAGTTTCTTAAAGAGTTTTTATTTCAAAAATTTCTATCTCCAACTTCCAGAAAGCCAAGGAAAACAGATGAATTTGGATTCTCTGAGGATGAATTCTATTGTGGCTTTCCCCTTTTTTGTGTGATCAAAGAGTCAACCATGTTGAATGATATGTGTAAACAATGCCATAGAGATTTTTACAATGTACTAGTGTTGCTTGTTAATGAGATTTGTAGGGGCTATGTTTGGATTGGGTTGGGCGTTGATTCTATTAAAGAATGGCTGTATAGGCTTGTATTTGGACTTCCCTAATGCCCTCACATTTAGAAGGTTTTATTTTTATTGTGGTGAAGGTTATAGAGATGCTGGTCGTGAAGTTAGAGTGTTTCCTCTATAGGCAGTTTGCTGATTGCGTTTTGGTCTGTATAGTCTCAGCTCATAATGATATCCCTAAATGCCATCAAACTTAGTAGGGGGTGAGGGAGGATATTTTCTGCTCCACTTGCCATCAAAAAAGATTAATCAGAACCTGTAACTTTTCAGAAAACATCACAGCAAAGGGCCTTGAAGCTGAAGCCCTCCCAGACTGGGAGTGGGGGCAGAGGGAGGGAAGAGACCAGGGCAGCCCCCAGGCAGGAGAAGACCCGTCTCTCAGCATTTACCAGACAAAGCCTGGGTGCGTCTAATTATGATTATTAAAACAATTTCCATGACGATGTCTAATATTATGTTAATTTGAAAACAACTGTGTATGAAAACTGTCGACTATAATACCTAAATTCATTTAATGAAACACATCGTTAAGGCAATTAAACCTCCTGGATGTGATTAAGAAACATAATTACGACACTGTTCTGTGCCATAATTGGGTGTCTTTAATCAAGGGGTAAAGTGCTCAGCAACACAGCCATTAGTTTGTATTGTTCTGGCCCGGCTGTCCATCATTCTGATTAGGAATTAACCAGAGCCACCATCAGTCGAATTTTTTTTTCCCTATTTTGCATGTTAACATTGTAGAGGACATATTTGTTGCAGGATTTTACTGCTTAATAGTTCTCATTATTAAGAGGACCTCCTTAATATACTCTTTGTAACCTCTGTGATGTTTAACTCTGATTAGAAATAGTACAAATAAGAAATCTTGAACTTCAGGGGAAAAAGAAATGCTCACCCTCCTCTTACTCCTTTAATAACTCAATCTCCAAAGTTTGTCCTGAAAAAACTGGAAATGGATGGGGGTGGGGGAAAGGAGAGGATAAATGTCAGACAAATATGAGCAATTATGCAAATAACAGGGTTAATAATATTTAGTTTCATTTTGATAATTTCAGACACATAAATTCTCTTTCCAAATACAGGAGTTGACCAGTGCTGAGTTCTAGGAATAAATGGGGGACAGCTGAAAACAAGAACAAGAGAGGACTTTGCGGTGATTTACTAGGTGGAATTCCCTGCCCTCAGCCAACCTTTGTAAAGTTTTTTTCAACAGCAGTTTTTAGGGAGGGGAAACCACTGATTGAAGAGACAATTCTTCCCCCACCTGGCAAAGCCCTGGGCCGCTTTCCGAGGCCCGCTGGACTCCTGTATTTTCAGCCCAGGGTGGAAAGTTGGTGCACACACTTCTGGCCCCAGATGTCTTCCCATTGCGCAGCATCCACTTCAGGATTGGGTGACTGAGCACCAAGGGGTCAGGGTGATCTTGCTGAAGTGCCCTTGGGCCAGAACACAGACCCTGGCCCCTAAAACGGCGGCGTCTGTCGGAGTATTTCGGTCAGCTTCAGAGCCTGCATCCACGGCGCCTTGGGGTGCTTCTGCGGGGAGTGCGCCGCCGGAAGGATCCCGGCTGCTTGAGTTTCTTAGGGAACTGTCTGTAGGCCGAGACAGTAAGCGAGGAACCAGAATCTCACTTGGCCTTTTATTCCACCGGTTTCCTTCTCTAGTGTCTAACTTCAATATCTTTCTCTAATTTCGAATTCCTATTTAGATCCCGTCTCCAATTTGACATTGGGCACCTACAGGAATGAAGCGCTCTGGGGCTTTTCGTGGATTCCTTCCTATAGAAGCCGCAAATGATCATCTTCGGAGAGCTCACTAGTTAGACCCTCCTCCCTCTCTGCGGTGCCTGTAAGTGTGTGTGTGCGCGTGCATGAGTGTGTGTGCGCGCGCGCGCAACCATGCGCTCTCATTCTCTGCAGCTGGGCATCCCTTCTAAGACCCCGCGCTGTGCTTAAATTTTTGCTCCCTCCTGTCGTACCCAGCACCATCCTTCCAGCCAACAGCTCACTGGGGAGGGCCAAGGCTCACCGGTGCACGTCTCCAGGCGCTCTGGGCCCTGACGCCGGAACCGAACCTTTCTCTGCGCCCGGGACCCTGAGATTGTTCCAGCCAGAGTGGCATTGACTTTTCCAATGTAATGACTTATGAAAGATATAATCATGTGTTAAATTGAATCCTCCGTTTAACTGTTAATGGTGTGCTCTGGGCACATTTACGTATTAGATGCTATGGTAACTAATTACCACTAGGAAAAAGGATAATACACTTCCCAGACTTTGAAAAATAATGATGAGAGATCACTTCCCAGTTCGCAACACACAGTGGCGGCTCTGCCGGGCGGAGACGCGCTGAGCGGAGACCCCAGCGTGCTCTGGTGACAGGCGGGAAGGTAATGAGTCCTGCCCAGAAGAGGTTCCTTAGTAAAAACCTTTGATGAAAGTGTAATGCAGTGGGGAAGTGGGGGATGGGGTGGGACAACCAGACAATGTTGCCTCTAAACAGAATTAAATTGCAAAACAAACGTCGGAAACAAAAGTATTCTTTTAATTACAACGAAGGTCAGACTAAGTTAATCACTTGCCAAGCAACTTTACATGAATGAACATTTTCTGTTGTGTGGGCACCATAAATGAGTCGCGCCTTTTGGAGCTCTGCCTTGGCGCTTACAAAGTTGGATGCCCCTGGATCTGCCAAGCCAATGAGATGCGGGTTAAAGTTGGCCTTTTAAGTCAAACATTGGGCATAGGAGAAGGAAACAGGAAGGAAAACCAGGAAAAGGTAACTTAAGAGGAAAAAACAAAACAAAACAGTTCTCAGGGCAGGAGTTTCTTCTCTCCCTGCCGGATCTCTGGCTTTTCTGATGAGTTGATCTGTGTTTATCAGAACCAGGGTTCTGTAGACTGCGAAGTAACCAGGTGCCTGTTTCGCCCCAGGGCCAGGGTCAGGGCCAGTGTTTGTGCTGGGGACCTGGGAGGGCAGGAGGAAGGAGGGAGCAGCTTTCCCGCAGGCTAGCCCAGTGTTGCGGACCAAATGTGTGCCACTGCGCTGTTCTGCTCCGGCTGCGCCCGGGAGGGACCTGGGCTCCACAGCAGCAGAGCATCCCTGGATTGGCTGACGTTCTGGGCCCCTCCTGTGGGGCGCAAGGCCATTCAGCCCCCAAGTCCCTAGGGACAGAAAGGGAACTTCAAGGGCTCTGCCTCAACTCTTCCAAGGGAAGGCACTATGATCGGGGTGTCCCTTGCACCCGCCATGGCCTGGTGAGTTCACCGGAAGATTCCCGGCTTATAAGAAGCACCCGAAGCCCAGCCAAACCCCGGAATTCTGCAAAAGCACCTCAGTTTTAAACCCCAAAGAACCTCATCCCTTCCCAGCCAGGCAAAGAAAATTAGCTCGCTTTCCCTGAAGCTCGATTTTGGTTAAATTCTACCACTTTTCCTAAATGACTCGTCTTAACATAGTCCAGGAGACTTCTGGACGATTGCAAAACCATCAGGTACCCTTAAGAGCATGTGAGCGTGCATGTAGGACTTTCCTGTCCTTTCCCTCGTGTCCCCTCCTTCGGACAGTACAGAAACACAGATTAGGAGCTTTGGAAGAGAAATGACTGGGCTGGGAAGGCTAGACTGCAAAGGGAAAGAGGATTTTGCAGTTACCACCCACCCGCAGACCTAGCTTCCAATATGTGATGGACAAGCCTAGCTAAGTCACCAGGATGCTCTGATGGAGAGCTGGCTTTAATTATGCACAATGTGATACCATTTTCCTTCCCAGATTGGGAAAGAG